GGAACTTCTCAGCAGGAGGGGTTTCACCTCCACCAGGCCAGGTGAGTCACTGGGACTCAGGTATCCACTGAGCTCTTCCAGGCACCGGGGATGATGGGAATCGCTTGTTTAGAGTTACAGCGTCTTGTGGATCTGAAACTACCAGATGTGAAGCTCCCTGCTGTTTTTGATCCTGATTTGGTCTCAGACCTGAACAGACTCTCCCAGGAAGTTACAGGCCAGACCCATTTAGATTAGATTTAGATTTTTCTGAATCTAAACTTTAATTTCTGTCTCTCCATCACGTGCCAGTGACACCGCTGCTGTCTGCCGCCTCTCCTTGAGCCGCTCGCACAGGTCCCATCAAGGCAGGCGGTCTGATCTTTGTCCTGGATCATTCCAAGAAGACACAGTCCATGACGGATGCCATCGACCAGCTTCTGGAAAAGCACCTGGGCAGAAAGACTGCCTCACTAAGGTGGATGCTGAATATGCTGCTTGAGTTCAAGCTTCCCTGAAAGATCCTAACAGCCTTCTACACCCAACAACCAAACGGCACATCTCGTGTTATGTGAAGCATCTGGCCAAGAATAAAAACACCAAATCATCCTGGAGACTGTAGTACTTAAGTAGTTACCATGTGATCCTCCAAGAATTAAACCCCAGGATGCTCCCTGAACAAAAACACCACCTGACCAAATGTTTAAGGAGATTGTGCAGCAGCAGAAAGATCAGCAGCTGGTGAAAAAGAGAACGAGGAACTGTCCATCATCCAAAGTCTTGTTTTCAGGGTGATGGATCCTCTGTTCACTGATCAGTCTGGGGAGGTAAAGTATTTTTATTAGTCGTAAAAAGGTTTACCAGACCGACGTAGCAGAGGGTCTGACTGACCCTAGAATGGCGTTTGCCAACTTCTACAACTCAAGAGCTGGAGGCTGCAAAGCTACGCTCAGCCGAAGCCAGACGGTGACGGAGGAATGGAGGAAAGGAAAGGCCAAGGAGGAGCATCCTGCTGGGCGTCTGTGCAGGTTCTGCCACAGGCCTCTGAAACGAGGCCCAAACAATCTCCATGTCCACTGGGTTCTCTGGTGTGACAGGGAAATACATTTACTGTCCTGCCAAAGTTTTCTCTCAGTTCCAGAGGGAATGAAAGAGGAAATGACATGGAGGTGTCATCAGTCTTTTTATGAGACTGAAAAAGGACAAATGGTTCAATATTATGCTTCAGGTTCTAGTGTTCAATGTAAACGTGGTTTGAATAAAGTGAACAATGTTTATTACTGATTCAGTTGGAAATGCTGTTTTTACTTTGTGTTTTGTTATTCAAGATTGTTTTCTCACTTTCATTAAAAGTATTCTTGTAAATAGTTTTTCTTATAACATCCTTATATATGTCAACATCACTCTTGTGACGTTTATATTCAGCATTTAGTTTATGTGAAGAAAATCTGATTAAGTTTTGAGGAAGACAATCTGAGTTGTTTTATTCTCTGCTTTGATAATTTTACAGAATTCTGTACATAAACTTTGAAATAAGAAAAACTGCTATATTCAGATTTAATAAGTTATCTAAACCCATGTGGTTATTTTTAATACATTCTTGTAAGAACCCCTTCTAATAACATTAAATAAAAGTGACTTATGACAAAAAAGGAAAAAAGTGACACCAGATTAATCAAACGTGTGCTTCTTTATTAACATGTCTGGTAATTTATTTGCTCTCTTATCTGAGCTGATGACCTGGGCTAAAGTCAGAACTACATATGACATGGTCAAATGTTAGCGGCTAGGAAAAATTTAAAACCTCAGAGCCCACGCATGCAAGAAACAATTGTTTCTCAGCAGCCAAGTGTGTGAAGCGTAGAACAAGCCGACTGGTTTTTAATCAGGCCAGCAACTTGATAAAACAGAATAGAAATAGGCTTTACTTTCCCGTTGTAACAGCAATCAAAGAATTATTAATTAATTTCCCTTAAAGTATGTTTCGTTTCATGCGTCATGGGAGTTNAGCTGGGGCTCAACCTGGAAACCTTCTATGAGGTTTGAGGTTTCAGCCGGTTTCTCTCATCACTGAGTGACGACGATAACGCTGCAAGCCGAGTCATGAATGAATCAGTGGTTCAGTTTAATGGCGACCTTTAACCTTTTGGTGTCAGAAACAGTTCAGAGTTTCTAAAACCAAACGGAAAGAGATTCAAACACTCACAGTATGAGCTGTTACTGGCTGCAAACTGAAACACTATAAACATTTTTAAAAATGTAAAATAACTGACCCCAACTGTGACCCCAGAGCAGGTAGAATCACCTGCAGCAGTAAACGGCCTCAGTGGTCATTTTCCTCTCCAGCTGCTGGACAGATCGGTTCACTTCTGACTTCAGAGCTGTCTGGTAAACACAGGAGGTTCTGGTCCAATCACAGACTACGAGGTGTTCAGGTCCTGTGGGGAAAAAACAAGCCCAGATCACCATTCCTCCACCACCGTAATTCGCCATGAGCAGCAGGAGGAGGAAATTTAGCCTCGTAAAGCTGCATTCAGACTGCAGGCGAATGCGACTCATATCAGTCTTTTTTATCAGTCTGAACGGTTCAAATTTATGTCCCTACCATATGTAGAACTAAATCAGAAAAGCATCCGATAGTTTTCAAAGCGTCTGCAGTCTGAACAGTTAGCTTGCATTTTATTTGATAATTATGTCATAATTCTGCAGCAGAAGAAGCCAGACACAGTAAATCTCAACATAAACAACGGCTGAAGCTGGTTCTGATCTGGTGACCATGCTGTTGGCCCAAAGCAACTCTAAAATCCATCCATGGACACCGGCGGCCATTATTGCTGCTGTAAACAGAGCACAGCTTGATGACGGCTATGTTCATCTTCTGTGCATGTGATCGTATTTAATTAGTAGCATTAAGGACAACGCACAAAAAATAGCAAAAACATTGTGCAAACATCCAAGAGTTGCCATCAACACAAAAAGTGACGCATCACAAGGAAAGTAGAAAAAGTCAGCAGAGCAGAAACTGAGATGAAAGATAAAAACCATAAATTTCTGATAAAATAGTGATTTTTGTTTATGGCTGAAGAAGCTGCTTCATGTTTTGATTTGCAGATACTGCTGAGTAATGAAAATGAAGAGCATTTGTTAGCGTCCCCAGGTTGCTCAGCAGGTGGTGGGACAGTTCTTCTGAAACTGTGAGAGCGGTATCTCGCTGATCAACAAGCATAACTGGCTCTTATTTTAAGTAATTTCCCTTTTAAAGGTTCACACATTCACCATTTGTCCTTGACTGATACTAAATCAGCCACAGCAAACTCACCTTTAGTGAAGAGTCCAACTGCAGTGACCAGAACCACCAGCAGTAGAACCACCAGTACCAGACCCAGAGTCAGCATGCTGCCCTCCTGCTGATCAGAGAGACATGCAGGATCATCAACTCATTCAGGAAGTGATCAGCTCGATTACTGTTCAGAAACGTTTCAGGTTGTTCGATTGGGAAAAAAGCACTGCCGTTTTCAATCTAAAATCGGCTCTGGTTTAAAACTGGGACAGGTCTGATGAAAACCGTCACTGTTGGATTATTTCACTGGTCTAGAGGCAGAAACGAGTTTAACTGGAACCCATCAGGCACTGAGTGACCCTGACTGGTTTTCTGGTTGTTGTGTCTCAGGATGATCTCATGGTTCTCACCTCGTCTGTGGAGCTGCTGCTGTTAGAACAGGAAGTCAGGAGGCTCTCTGTTGTCAGCTGATCTGCTGGAGGAAATGAAAGCAGATGATTTTAGAACAGCTTGTCAGAGTGAACAAAGTCTTAAGTCAGGAGTTGTGAATACTTGTAGAAAGGTGTGAATCCTATTTGCAAGGTCAAAAACAACAGGTGACTCAGCAGTGGTAGAGCGTTGATGATTTGAATTGAACTGAAAGATGACGTAGCATCAGAACCAGTCGTTTCCTGGGGAGCTTTAGCCGTGCCAGATCAACTGAGACATTTCTGGTCTGTTTGTGTCTCTTGGCAGCAGCTGTGTGATTCTAACTCTGCATATGGATCTCTGCAGGATAAACCTCGTAAGGCCGAATGTTTTAGAACAACCTAGCATTGTAAGGTTTTGGCAACAAAAGTGAGCATCGTCCGGCCAGCTGACGATGAACTTGGACTTCCCCATTATAGCTAGCCAGGGCATATTAGCAGCTAGTTAGAGGTAGCCGCAACAGTAACAGAACATAATGAAGATTTCTGAGTGCGACTCAAACTTTTGCCTGGTAGAAAAGTCCAGCAAGAACAAACCAACCAACCAACCAACCAACCAACCAACCAACCAACCAACCAACCAACCAACCAAACAACCAACCAAACAACCAACCAACCAAACAACAACAACAACAAAAAAAACTACATGGAATATAAGAGATTAAATAGTTTTCAAACGACAAAAAAGACCTGAGATGAATAGATTTAAGGCTGATTTACACTTAAAAAAAATACATTTAAGATATTTTAAGGCCTTCAGTTTAAATACATGTATTTTAGAACAATAGGTGACTCAGCAGTGGTAGAGCTGCTGAGTCAGCTCTACCA